GAGAAAACAAGTTTCCTGTCTGTCTTCTCTCTCTCCCCCCTAACTCACTGATTTCTTAACTTTGAACGAACTACTAGTCCCTGAAACTATTCTCTCTGCACTTGCTGAAGAGGTGACTGCTGTCAAACTGGTTATTGCACTTCAACAATCTCTGGTTCTAGGAGCTACCACCACTTCATTGGTCTGACTTTACAACATAGCAGCAAATGTGTAATATGTTTTTAATCTAATGTTAAATCCTTAGGTCCTGTTGTTAAATATTAGTGGTGCATTTTGTATCTTGGCCTCTTTGTGAAAGGCAACCAGATTGTAAACTCTTCATAGGAACTAGAAGTTGGGAAAGCCCTGGTGCAGAGTGTGAGTGGGTGTGAAAAGAAGGGAGGCTGTCTCCATTCTGCAAGAGAATGTGATGTTACTAACCCAACTGTAGGTTTGGTTTTGTCAGTTAATAAAACCATAGGGTGAGAAGGACCACAAATGATGTAATACTACCTCTAGTCTACCCCCCCTGCCAAGATGGATATCCAGCATCTTGCTGAAAATCTCCACTCCTCCACTTTCCCCATAAGAATAATGTAAATGAGGGGGTTAGGTTTCAGGGAACTGTTTTTCACTAGACAAAAGTTGTGTGTACACATACACACAACATTTTATACTGGTACATAGTGATGATGATTGTGAAGCTTGGTTGAGGTGGAGGAGTCAGAGGGTGGGATATTTCCCTTACTGCTAAATGATGAACTAGCAGTTAGCTGAGCCCTCAAGGGTTCACTCTCTCACACTGCAAGGCAGCAGGAATGGAGGGAGATAGGCGCACGGCCTTGTTAGTTAGATCAGCTTGCTGAGACCGCAGCTACTGCAAGCTCCCTCTGTCCTGAGTCCTGCTCCATGGAAGATGGGATAAGCAGGGTGCAGGGGGACACCTTAACATTAGCTCCCCTCATCCTCCTCCCCCCAGCACAGCAAGCAGGAGTCTTGGGGAGCAGCACATGGCAGTGGGGGGAGAGACACAGCAGGGAGCAGATGGGGGGCTGCCACAGTCCATACTGGTTCCAAGCCCCCACCAGCTAGCTCCAACAGGCTGCTCTTAGAAGGGAGCATTACACAACTTTAAACAAGCATGTTTCCTAATTGATCAGCAATGAAACAAGGTTAACCAGGACAACTTTAATGTGAGGAGTTACTGTATACCCCCATCTACTGCTTTCCCCATCCACAAAGCTTGTTACCCTGTCAAAGAAAGCTGTCCAAGTGGTTTGACAATTTGTTCTTGACAAATCCCTGCTGTTACTTATCACCTTATCTTTTAGATGTTTGCAAATTTGATTGCTTAATTATTTGCTCAATTATCTTTCCAGGTACAGAAGTTAAGCTGACTGGCCTGTAATGCCCCAGGTTGTCCTTATTTCCCTTTTTATAGATTTGCCCCTTTTCCACTCATCTGGAATCTCTCCTGTCTTCCATGACTTTTCAAAGATAATCGCTAATAGCTCAGATCTCTCCTCAGTCAGCTCCTTGAGTATTCTAGGATGCATTTAATCAGACCCTGGTGGTTTGACATTATCTAGCTTGTTCAAGTAATTTTTAACTTGTTCTTTTCCTATTTTACTGGCGTTCACTATGTTAGAGGTCCAATCACCATCAACCTTCTTGGTGAAAACCGAAACAAATAAGTCATTAAGTATCTCTGCCCTTTCCACATATTCTGTTACATGTGCATTTGGTTTTTCTTGCCTAAGTGTAGCCCCTTACATTTGTCTTTGCTGAATGTCATTTTGTTGGCTGTAGCCTCGTTCTCCAAATTTATCAAGATCCCTTTGAATTTTAGCTATATCCTCCAAATACTGCTGCAGCTGTAAGCAGTATGGTCTCTATTACCATGTTCAGATCATTAATAAAAATGTTACCACCACCAGAGCCCCAACAGATTCACATGGAACACCACTTGCGACCTCTTTCCAATCTGATATCATTCCACTAATAGTTACTCTTGGTGGTTGTTTAACCAATTATGTATCTATTTAATGTCATTCTACCAAGCCTGCATTTCTCCAGCTTGCTTATGAGAATGTCGGGGGAGTGTGTCAAAAGCCTTGCTAAAGTCCAGGTATATTATGTCCACTGCCTTCCCCCATCCACCAAACCAATTAGATTGTCAAAGAAGGTTAATACAGTTAACATCGCTTTCTTACCTCTTGCTGGGTTTCTGCCTTCTCCTGTGGCATCAGATCTGTAACTTTAGCACCACCAGGCTCCTTCTTGTAAAACTCTATGCCTTCCTTGGGGAGGTAGGACTGATTGATACCCTGAGGTTAAAATATGGAAGGCTAACACCGTGGGGAAACTTAAAAGAGAGCTTCAATTGTGCAGTGTTTTTGAACATTTTTGATAGCAGGGACCGGCTTGCTTTCCAATCTGTCAGGGAGATTTCATGCACCAGCACCACTCCAGTGACCGGTTGTTTAGAAACACTGCTTGGGTACATGTAAAACAATGTCTTACTGGGGTAGTGAGGAGGTGCATATAATCTTGTTAATCTAAGAGTCCCAAACATTCAGTGGTGCTGGATCTCAAAGGTACTATCTTGGAAACTAAGGTTCAGTGTTTACTTCTAGACCAGGTAACTAGAAAACTCTAGCTGGACAGATGTGTATGTATACAACCTCATTAAATTATTTAAATAGGAATACAGGAAGGCATTCCCTCCCTTCATAAGCCTAGTCCCTTTGCAGGAAGTCTTTTTTTTCCTTGCTATTGTCAATAAACCCTGCTGATGGGGGCTAGTCAAGTTAAGTACTAAGCATAATACAGCAAGAAATTCTTCCAATTTACGCTTTAATTTCACCCTCCTTTTAGCAATATATATACACACACAAAACCCAAACTTCCTCTACCTCCCTATTGCTGATTGAAGGGGAGAAGGGATAATCAGACCTCAAGTGATTTTTAAGGTTGTAGTGTGTGACAGTAAAACGTGGGTGTTCAGGCTCCGAGGTTATATGCTCTTTAACCACAGTCCTCTTTCCCTCCTTTAGGTGAAAGTAGAGGTAATTACTACACATCCTGTAATGTTCAAAGCATAAACAAGCTTGTGGAAGTTCCCTTCAGTCTATTTTTTTCACTCTGCTATTGACACTCCCTCTAGAGGTCTTGTAATAACCGGTACTTCCGGCTTTTGTAGCAAGTATCTTCCATTGCAGTCAGATATTCTGAAGTAGGGGGGTCTATTCCTTCATGTGCATGCCACTGCCATTAGTAGTGGTGAGTTGTGGCTGGCTGCTTAGAATCTGCATTGTGAATAACTTGGGTACTAGTGTGGGAACACACCTGTGCTCCCTCTTCAAGAAAATCCACAGCTACTCCCCCCCCCCCCCCATCAGTGTTCCCATGCTGGTGCGGATTCTCCAAGCACCACTCTTCTTGCAAGTACTGAGCAATGCTACTGAGCAGTGACATGTTGTTAGCAATTCTGTTCTTTAGCTAAGCCCTAAAATGGGTTTCTTGACCACCATGGCACATGCTCCCCAAAGTGGTGGCACGCTGGTTTCCTGGACAAATTTCTACACAAGTGGGGTCTACCTCCTTATGTTCATTGGTAGCATCAAGGGTGAGGAAACCATATGGCCAAGTGCCAATTCAGTTCAAAGGAGGACACCTGCACCCCTCTACTAACACTGACGCATCATAATGCTCACCTGTTTGGGGGGCAGGCTAAGCTCTTCATCCCGCCTACCATCTGCTAGACGGACAACCACAGATGCCCCTCTCACCAGCTCAATCTGAGATGGAGAACGCGGGTCAGCCTGGTGTTTGGAGAGAACTGAACAGCACCCACAATTGGAGTCAGATTTTAAAAACCCTTGGCTCCTAGCTGATCTCACTGTGACACTGACTAGGGGAATGACTTGGCCGGGTTATGGATTCCGCGCTCTCAAAAATCTGCTCTTTGCACGCCTGATAGTTGCACTACGTTGGCCTGGACAGGCACAGGGGCTCTGTGCCAAAGCGAGCCACCTGGGGAGATCCATTTTAACTTGCTAAAGGAGATTACGACCCTGGTGCAAAGTAGGTATAAAATGTCACTCAATCAGTATTCTCTAGGCAGCCCACAGACAGCACTGTGCACAGCTGTGAATGAGATGAAGCGAAAGGCCGTGGAGTGCTCCATCAAAGCTCTGGCATGTGAGTGACGCGGGGCTCGGCTGTATATCATGCAGGAATTTAAGAAGGGTGTCTATGCTCAACTCATTGGTACCTCTTAAACCGCAGCACCAGACTTTTTATACGTAATATAGTCTGCTTCGGAGACAGCGTCTCTCTATAGATAGGAGGCATAAAAAGCATTCAAATTTGGGACAAGCCTAGAAGCATTTGGTCCGAGACTGACGTGTATCTGTGTTGTACTTGCAAACAGATTGGCGCATCAATAGACATCAGACCAGAATAAAGTTCAGTGTTGGAGGAAAAATTAAAGAGAAACCGCTTCTGACCTACCGAAGAAATCATTGTTTTTACACTTTGCCAAAGGATGTTAAACAGCAGAATACATTAAAATCCACCCCGCACCCTCTGACATTTCAAACAACGAAAACCAGTTGGGAGGGCTAATGGGCCTTTGATTCCTCCAAGATCATGAGCAGTTTGAAAATACTCCTCATGTTTCAGGGTAAGGGCTCTGCAGGATGGGTGAGGTAACATTTAGTCTCGATGATTTCACTTCAGAGGGCTTGTGGAAAGACCCAGTCAAGAGGGGTTAAAGCAGCCCGGGAGAGGGCTGCAACTGGGAAAGCTGGGCTGATTGGGGAAGCTCAATCAAGGCCCAGCTGGCCCTTATAAGAGGGCAGTGGGCCAGGAGCTAAGACTCTCTCTAGCTTTCAGAGAGAGACGGACCTGGCTGCCTGGGGAGCTGAGGAGGGTACCTAGGGTGGAGCAGTGCTGGGGAAGGGCAGAGGGAGCTGGGGAGCTCCAGCCTCGCAAAGCCGCAGGCTGAGTTAAGGGCCCACAAAGGGCACTGGGGCTGCAGAGGGGCAGCCCAGAGATAGGCAGAGGCATCTGGTCCAACCCCCCCTTGCCGATGATGAGGGGATTACAGACTGCGTCTGCCCCAGGGGGCGGGGGCTAGACGACGACTGGCAGTAGCCACTGAGGCGAGGTGGGACTAGGGGGTTGGGGGATCCCCTGGGTGGAGAGACCCAGATTGTGGGTTGCTCCTTGGGGGCAGAACCCTGATGTAAAGGACACCGGGGTCCAGGAGGGACACGGGGGCCAGCAGCAGGTGAGACACCGGCCTGCAGAGGGCACTCCAGAGGCTGGAAGGGCTAGTTCCCAGGACGACCAGCAGGAGGCGCCGCGCCAGTGAGTCGTCGCCCCGCCACAGGGCTAACGATGAGTTTTCTACTTGCCCGCACTACAAAACTCAACCTGGAACTGAGCACAGACGGGTCTGTTCTGCCTGTCCCCCGGGGAACAGTTCTATTGTGCAGCTGGCACATACAGGACAGTGCTGAGGCCTGAAGCGGGAAAAAAGCCAGGTGGTTCATGCAGCGCTCCATTGGCTCTGCAGGGCTAACAACATTTTTACTCCTTTAAGGCCCCAGTTCTGACCCAATTGGCATCAAGGGGAATTTGACCATGCAGTGGGGTGGATCAGGAGGAGTCATTTTTACAGGTCATTTTTCATCCCAGCCTTAACACTGTAGACGCGTCTCACTATTGCACGGTGATTAAACACGGTGCACTGGCGTGGCATGATGACTCACCACTTTCCTGTTCGCCAGCTCCTGCGTAACGCTGGTACACGTTCCTTGGGAGAAGGAGATCACAATGTTCTGTTGGAACATGAGCAACTCTCACACTTAGCTGAAGAACTAGTCTGCACACACAACAGCAACTGCAGTGTCGCCTCCTTCCCCACTCGAATCATTCTCCCCAAGGGCGGCACAAGATGAGTCCAGTGGGGAGGAGCAGCTGCAGAAGCAGCCAAAGATGGGACCTTTGGCCAGTCCGAGAACTTCTGAGACTGGACTTTCTCTGCCCTGTGCTGATCGGCTGTTTCTCCATCCCTCAAACATTTCACCTCAGTGTCACGCCCACACGTGACCCACCTGCGCTGTCCCCTTCACTTAATGTCCCCTCTCCCGTCACGTCTCTTTCCATTTAGCTGATTTCCTCCAAATTAACCCCCAGCCCCTCACTCCAAAACCCTGTGGCACTAACATGCCCTTTGCTGCCATCACACTGTTCGCTCTGCAGATGTATTACCCTAGTAGCCGACACGGGGAGGGGGAAGGGGAGTATGTCGACACGGGGATAAAAATCCACAGCTGGCCCAGGTCAGCTGGCCTGGAAAATTGCTGTGTAGACGTTTGGGCTCAGGCTGGTGCCTGAGCTCTGGGGCCCTGTGAGGCGGGGACCCTGCCAGCTGTGGGGTTTTGATCCCTGTGTAAATGTATCCTTAGAGTGTAAGCTCTTCAGGACAGTGACTGCTGCTTTGTGTCTGTACAATGCCCGATTGTCCCACTCTTGGCTGGTCCTTGGGCACTACCCTAGCAAACAGGACATCCTAATCCTTAAAGACTAGGGCACTTGAGACGATGATGCTGAGTAATAAGGGACCCTGACTAGCAAGGGAAGAGGAAAGGAACCCTTCTCTCTGTGCAGCACTTTTCATCCCAAAGGTGCTACCGCAAAGCATGAAGGCACGCAGGAGAGCTGCATTGAACGCCAGTGGGGCTCTGATGAGAACTGGTCTGTACCTGGCTGGGAGCCCCCTGGTACAGAGGCAGCTGATAAACATCAGTATTGCAGTAGCCACTAGAGAACACTTGGAGAACAGCCCATGCTTCACTCCCCAGTGCATAGCGCAGCCTTTCGCCCTCTTTCCTCATGATTCCTCTCGGCACAGGTCTGGTGGCTGCCTTTTTGCCCGGAGTGTCTGGCTCAGGATTCACCAGGACTTCGTACAGGTGGATAATCACCGTTAGATACTCATTGTAAATCCTCTGGGGAAAGGACTGGAAGGAAAGAAAACATTAGCTGTGGAAAACTAAAAACTGATCAAGAAACTGGAGACCATTTCATGGGCCGAGGGGCAAGTTCTGTTCCTTAAAACCAAACACTTCAGTGCATAACCTAATGGACCGGTGGCTTGAGCAGCTGGCAGCCTGGGTTCTGACTCACGAGGTGACTGCTGAGCTTCCCTTTGTCCTATCTGCAAAACCCGGGTCCTCTGACCCTGCGTGGGAGTTCACACCATGCCTCTTGGTCTGACAGGGCCCGAGTTGACTGCCCTTCAAAGCCTATATCTCCAGGTTCTCTCTGCGAGCAAGGCAGGGTTTTAATGTTGACGCTGGCTCAAGCTACGTTGCAACGTATATTTAAGACGTTACGTTGCAGGTTGCTTAGAGCCTCATCAGATGCATTGTATCAGGACAACCAACTATCTCGACCCACTCTATTTTCTTTCTTTATGTTCGTATGTAAATGAAGCCCCTGCAGAAAGCATTACCTTGAATCCATCCAGCCACACAGGCCATCGCTGGTAGCTGTCAAGGTCAAGCTCCTCCACAAAGACAGGACGATCGTATTTTAGCCAGGGCCTCCCAAAATAAAAGGCCCCAGGGGGATTGAAGCAGAAATGAGCCACCGTCAAACCAGACCAGGGTAGATTCTTGGCACCATCCACTGCAAACTGGAACAACCGAGAACAAAGAGATCAACCAGGGACATTTGTAATCAAGAGACCGTATGTGGATGGACTAATAAAGGCTGCACACCACGAATGGATGGTCAGAACTGCCCCCACAAAACCAGGAGTCTGATTGGGGGAAGGGAAAGGGAAACACCTCTCAAATTGTACTGTCAATTCCGAAACAGTTGGATGGTTCTGCTAGAGTGACCGAAAGTGGACTAGTTAACGACTGACATTGGTGAAGTCATTGGCAGGGTTTAGCATTGACGTGAGGGCAGTGCGCCTCTACTTCCGACTCCTGATTCCAGACTCCGTGTCTCTGCGTCTCAGCCAGATAACCCCGGCCTGGTTTCCTTTGCAACCACAAAGGGTGGAAACTTCTTTTTTTGGGGTGGGAGGGGTGGGGGGAGGAGGTGCGGGGGGGAATAAAATCTTAAATTCTCTAGAAAGCGGTGGGGCCCCAAAGCAGGATGCGTGCAGTGTGTCTCTGCGTATCACCCGGGACCAGCTCCATCCTAGCCCGGTGTGGAACCTACACAAACACAGCAGGTGTGTGGCACGACACCCTTTGCACTGATCGTGGTCTTGGACACTCTCCCCTGGTGCCAGGAGAACAATCAGATTGTTGAAGCAAGCGAATAGTACAGTCATTCCATTACCTATGTGGGGCCCAACAGCTGTTCTCGGACTGAGAAACACACTCCTTGAATCACCTGCAAGACAATCCTGACCTCAGCACCAACCCCTCTCTTTATAAGCACAATTCCAATGTCCACCAGGACACGATACAATCATTTAAGACTAGGAGATGCAATTGGACCTGCAGGGGAATTCAGGCAGGCAGCATGCAATTACCGGAGTTAGAATTTTGGGGGTGACCCCTTTCATCTTGCAAAATTGCCATGGGCTCTTTAACTCTCCCAAGCGATCAGCACCCTGGTTTTACATCTTATCCAAAAGACAGGGCTGATGACTCCTGTCAGCTCTCACAAGCTGAGCAGAATCAGGTCAGTACTTGGACGGGAGAGTGATATTCCCTAAGTCGCTGCACTAAATCAATGCACTCGCCTGGGGCAATCTCTACTGATGCACTGGTCGTTCGGCTGCAGGAGAAGGAAAAGACATGGCCGGTTCCTCAATTTTTCTGAGGCTCAAATCCTTCCACTCGGGCAGTAACTGGGGAGCGTAGGCGGATGGCATGCAACTGTGAAACATTTCGTGCTGCCTCAGGTGCTATATTTTTAAGTCACAGCCTTAAAGAACCTCAGAGTTATGAAGACCAGAGCTACAAACTGACCGATCCACCACACCCCTCGTTTGGAACCTGAAGTACACCATCAGGCAGCAGTAGAGACCCCAAAAAACCAAACACACTAATACAGACGAGTGCTGTGTTTAAAAGTAAACTACTAACAAATAAAGGGAAAGTTAAAAAAAAAAAAAGAATTTGACAAGCTAAGGAAACTGTTTCTGTGCTTGTTTCATTTAAATTAAGATGGTTAAAAGCAGCATTTTTCTTCTGGATGGTAAAGTTTCAAAGCTGTGTTAAGTCAATGTTCAGCTGTAAACTTTCAAAAGAACCAGAACGTTTTGTTCAGCGTTAGGAACAACCTCCATCCCCAAGGTGTCCATAACTCGGAGGTTCTACTGTACGTACTATTGCTCCAAATCTGTAGCCAACTAGGACTTCACGGCAACAGTAGAGGTAGAACTCAGACCCTCTTGCTCAAAGACACTGGCCTTTATGATAAAGGAAGGTCTCTGCTACCCATGAGCAGTATAGGGCCAATGATACACAGCCAAATATTTCTTATTTCACCCAGAAGAGGACAGGCCCCCCACACAGGCATTAGCCAGTACATTTCACTATACCCGTTTGCTGTTCACCTTAATGCCGTATGTAGGGAGGTATCGAGAGACATAGGTAAGATTGAAAGGCTGAGGGCTGCAGTCCATCGTCCTGGTCAGTTTCTCTTTGATCCAAGTAGAGATCTCCGCATCTGTATTCAGCTCCGGGCCTTCGTTTCCCACAAGCTGAGGGACAATCTCCCGAACCAGCACTGCAGACCTGAGCACGGGGCGGGAAGTGAACAGAAAGCCACGACGTTGAACAGAGGCATAAAGTCAGGAAAGGCTGCAGAGAGAGGTGCTCCATCCATCTCAAAGCAACACCCCACACCTCTCACTCAGGCCCAGAGAGAAGCACTGGGAGACCGATGCTGCCTGGCTGGAACCATCCATGGGGGTGACAAAAGATTACATCACCCAGTCTGCTTAGAAAAGGTCCAAGACTGGAAGTGCAGAGGGGCTGTCGGTCAGGACCGAGGCACTAGTGAGCTGGAGCGGGCTGCAGATCTGGAACAGATCGGGAGAGCTGGTGGGAGCGTGTCTCAAGACTGAAATAATGGAGGGGAGGCTGCGGGTCAGGACTGAGATGTCTTGGGGGAACCCAGGGTAGCAGGGGCTGCAGATCAGGATTGAGGGGCACTGGCAGAGCAGCGGGGGGGGGGGACCTTCCTGCATTCGAGCTGGTGGCACACAGTGCTAGCAATGCTGTGCCAATGCCCCTGCTGTCCCTGTCCTTTCAGGGGCAGCAAATTCACCCACACGAATAAGCCGAAAGAAGAAAAGCTCATTTTTCTCAGGCCCCCGGCACCAGCTCACCTGTTTCCCATGGCGCTGTAGAGGCACCTCTCCCCGGCGGTGGGCACGACCGAGTCTGAATAATAGATCCCGTCTGAATAGTCAGGCCTGGGCTGGAAGAGGCCGAGTCTGACCCAGTCCCCCTGGGGAACCATGCTTCTCTGCAGGGTTTGATGGCTGGAGTCCACGGGGGCTTTGAGCAGCCTGACTAGCAGGCTGGCACATGGGACATACCTGTGGGGAGAGGAGCAGCACAGGGGTGAGAGCCTGCACAGTCCGCAGCAAAGCACGGGACGTTACAGAGACAAGACACACACAAGAAGGGAGTGAGCTGGCCGGGAGCCAGGCGCGAGGGGTTACCGTCCTGCAGAGGTGAGGGCACCGACAGAGAACAGCTGGTCCGTGGCAGGGCCACTGTGGTACAGGCGAAGCTGGTGGGCACCCTCGTTCAGAGAGACCTAATCAAAGCAAAAGCTACAGATCACTTGATCCACTCTCCACTGCTAGCCACAGCTTCCCCCTCCGAAGGGGCAGAAATCGCTCTGCGAACCCATGGCTGCCCCCACTGTCCTGGACAGACCCTGCAGGCATGGACTAGCAAAATGTGCTGCCTCCTAACCATGTTCCAAGCCTACAGCTGATCTCCAGCCTTGGCCTGGGAAGCCCTTGAGGTCATTGGATTCCTGGTTTCAACAGCAATCCAGCTTGTCTGGATCCCCCCAGCCTTGCCCTGCCCCGCCCCAGAGCCCAGGGGAGCTCGCCCAGATCCCCCCTGCCCACCCCAGAGCCCGGGGGAGCTCCCCCCCCCTCGCCCCGCCCCAGAGCACGGGGGAGCTCACCCGGATCCCCCCGCCTCGCCCCGCCCCAGAGCACGGGGGAGGTTACCCGGATCACA